AGAAGTTGAATTTTCCCACCATTCCATTATAATTTAATTAGAAAAACATACAAACAATAGTATCATTACAGAGGTTTGATCAATATACAAATCTGAACCGACTCAACAGTTTTCTTTGAGGAGTCTTTCTTACCATATACTTCTTGAAGTAATTTTGTTTGGAAAAAAAACCACTATTTTGTTTTACTCTATTCATGCATCTTTTTTTTGCAGTTTATTGCACCATAAACATCACATCTCTGACTTCAGTAGAAAAGCTATGGTTTTACCAAAAGTATTATCCTGATATGTATTTCTTTTAGTTCTTTTATAGCCAGGTTCAAAACATGGCATACAGCTCTTTCATTAATTCCGCCAGAGACATACTGCTATTAATAGTGTGACTCCCATTGTCCTTCATCTCCTCCTTGCATGCTTTCATCCCTTTTTAAGTCCTTATTCAGCATAGTTTCCAAACAATTTCATTACATTTATCCTCCAGGAGCTCCCTTTGTTTTGATTAACTCCCATCTTGCTGATTTTGTGTCATTTTTACCACAGTTGACTACCTGAAGAATCAAATTCCATTTTCCTGGCAATTGCCTTGGTATCTCCTTCAGTTCTCTGGACAGCCTGCTTCAGAAAATAAACATTTTCTCATAAGAGTTATCAGATTCAAATATATGGGAAATAATGCACAGACACAAAATATCAACTTTATCCTTTGTTATGGAGAATTTCTAAAAAAACTCTTGTCCAGTTGTTTTTCTTTTTGAGTGGAAATGATGCCAGAAGTACCACTTGCCCCTCCGCATGCAGTCTCCCAGCAGATAAGCTTCACCCCAGCCCCTGCTTGAAGTGTCATGGGCAATGGTCTGGGGAAATCAAAGAGGAGGGTCACAGGGAGAATAAAGATATCAGGCAGAAGGTAAGGGAAGTAAGAGCAACTCTGCATATAGAAGGGTCATAAAGACTTCAGCAAATCATTGTCTGAGATTTGACATTGTCCTCAATTATAAAAGCATGTAAAATTTCGTTATTAGGATGACACTGCCAGCTGTCACACAGTCTCTTGTCAGAGCAACATCAGGAACATGTTAACTGTTGCTAGCTGAGAATTCATTGCAAGCCATTCATTGCCTCTTCTTTCTTGGAAAAAAATGTTTGTCACCTTGTCAGCATGAGGAAATAATGTGCTCTGCCTCACTGAGACAGCAGACAGAACAAAAGCTCACACCAGAGATGGTGCATGTGTAGGCACAATATTTTTTACTTCAGAGGAGGCAAAATCAAGATACATTTTGCTATTGTGAAATGTGCTTCAAAGAAGTGCATACTTGGACCCAGATAGTCGCAACCTTGGTGGGCGCCAGGATGTTGTGGCATTTGCCTTGGGGCTCATCAGGTGAGCAGCGAGCATTTTCAGCATGTTCACTAGACCCCATCTGTGCTCCTAGTCCTTCCCAGTACTAAGTCCAGTGCCTTCAGCCATGGTCCGTAGTCTAGGGAGTGAAAGTGGCGCAGCTGTTGATGGTAAGGCTGTCGGCGCAGCTGTTGATGATAAGGCTGTCAGCCCAGATGTTGTCACCATGGGCAGCACAGCACAGGGCACTGGTCAACTGAGAAGGAGCCTGAAGGTGGAGGTGAGTGTAGTTTCTGCCAGGAACTGATGGTGTTATGGCAGAGCATCTGCAAAGACCAGACTCACACTAAACAAGGACAGCAGGAGGCCATGTCAGTACAGATGGCAAAGAGTGGCCACTGAGGCAGCAAGGGACAAAAGCCTGTAGCTTCCATCAATGGATGGAATGCCCCTTGCCCACCTACAGCTTCAGCATAAGTACAGTGCTCTCCTGGTTACTGTCAAACAGAAAAACTTCCAGGAAATTCATCAGGACTAGCTGAGCCTGAAATTGATATATGTAGGAAGGAGAAAGATCATTGTACTATTGTAGGAGTCTCCTTCTTGTGGGGGTTGCAGATACTATTCTGATAACCACATACGATGTCTAGAAAGGTATCTTCCTTACTAGTAACTGACCTAACGTCCTCATGAATTAACTGGAAGATGGAATGGAGTATGTTCCCAGCCAGCTTATGGAATGCACAAAGCAGTGAGTAGGACTGCCATTCCAAGATTTGGAAGGCTGCTGAAATGGACTCAGATGAAAGTTGTTGGATACCCTGAAGAAGTTACCTAATCAGAACAGGTGTAGGTTTTATTCTTTTTTTGACAGGAACAATGAATAAAAATTCCTGACTCCAAATGACAGTACAGATCTGTATCAAGAGGAGACCTCTTTGGAATAGTGGATCTATTTCTGCATTTCACTTGCCAGTGGTTTCAGTTTATGTTTAATTCCAAATGTGCTTATTACACATCATTTGAATAACTTGTACTGAAATTATTTAAATCTTCATCAGATCTTACTACGTGAAGAATGTTACATATTACTAGTAGTAATACAACTAGTATTTACAGATTCATACTCTCAGGATAGCTTTATCTGTGTATCATACCAAGTAGCCTTGAAGCCTGTGAGTCATAAATGCATTTGTCAATGGTTAGAGTCATAAACGGGGAATCAAAAAACATTACCTTTAAGTATTTATATTTACGTAATTTGCTCTGAAAGCAGTGCCTACATTTATTTCCATAATGAATACAATGGATATAAAGAGCACAATAATACTAAGTCATAGAGCAAATTCTCAGCGATAGAACGCTCTTTTTCAACACAGCCACCACCATTAGCTGTGCATTTTCACCAGCAATGAACAGCAGTCTACATGCTGCGCTCATAAAAATCTGCACCAGTGGAGGCAACCACTGTCACTGTCACTGCTGCTGAAATCCACCACCCACTGCCTCACTGTGCTCACTCCACTGTTTTTCCTACGGAGGAATTCAGTGACACACCTTTGCTTTGTATGCTCTTCCATGTCAGATATCATTCTGTCAGACTGCCTCTCTGCTGCCATCTGTCATATGGCAACAGTGTAATAGGATATTGGTGGGAAGGTTCGGCCTCTACTGCCATACCACCAACATCTGCTTCTGATGTTGTGGGCTGATATCATAAAACAGAACATACTATTTTTGGAGCAGACCTCATATTTTCTATGGTTGTACAGCTGATGCAGTTTGACTTTGTCATCTTTTTCATTGTCACCTCCAAAAGAGGTTACTGAATTCATTTTATTAGGTAGAAAAGAATTCTAAATCCAAGTTTGTGTGATGGCTGCCTCAAAAGTAAAACAAAACAAAACAAAACAAAACAAATAAAAAAAAAAAAAAAACAAGAGGAAGAGGAAAAAAACTTCTTAAGACATTCAAAACAGAGGCTGAAAACTGTACCTAGTGTCTGTTATAATGGTTGCAATCATCATATGTCTCCATTTGCTTCCCACTATGTATAATTAGACATAATTGCACTTACATACATTTGTGATTGAATTGCCAAATGAAAACATTTGCTGTTTGATTATCGTCTGTGTTGTTGCACATAACACCTGAAAAACTGCATTTCATCTGAACATTTTAAAATGAATAGCTTAACAAATACTTAAAAATATCAAAACTCAAGAGCTATTTTCTATGTTTTATCATTAAAATAAGGCTTTAAATTCCAATTCTACATTACAATTTTTTCCATTATGCCATTTAAGTACTCAGTAGTGTCCTATGTATACATATTTTAATTGACTGAAGAAATATATAGTTACCCTTGTAAAACTCAAGCATATGAAATTTTATTTTCATTAGACATGTGACATAGCAGTTGCTAATAAGTGAAGTTATGAGATGTACAAGCTCTTGCAAAGTATTACATATTAATGCACCTATTTTAAGCATGGAAAAAAGAAAAATATATTTAAATGTTGTACCTAAAATCGCACAAATAGTATAAATCAACCACTCATGCTGAGTTTAAAGAAAAAGAAGATTTTTTTACAGATTACGTTTTAATTCTGCCCTATAAGTCATCAAATATAACTGCATCAGAGCAGTAAATAGGCAATAGAGGCACTAAGTGCAAACTGGAACACAGGAGGTTTTGTCTAAACATTGTGAAGCCCTTTTATTGTACAAGTGATAGACCACTGGAACAGGTAACCCAGATTGATTGGTCAGTCCTCCTCTCTGGGGATGCTCAAAAGCCAGATGTCCTCCAGATGACGTGGACCAGATGAAGTCCAGATTTCCCTTCCAACCTGAACTATTCTGTGACTCTGTAGTTCTGTGAACAGAGGCCAAGTAAGCCATAATAGTATGCTACAAGAAATGGCTCTGCTAAAAAGCTATAAAGTGTCTTGCAAGATACTACATCTAACAATACACTATAGAATTTTTACTGAATTATTTTCATTGAATCATAGTATGACAGAATCATTAAGGTTGGAAGAGACCTCTAAAATCACCTAGTCCAACTATTTCAATGGAAATAATTGCCAAATGAGAGCTGAATAGTGTAATTCACTGAATTGCCTTACAAATCTTTATTTCCCCACCCAAAAGGCGAGGAGCATAAACTAGCACTTCTTATGGTTGCCTCTGTTATCAAGGGAGAGAAGAGTGCCAGCTGCACTTTGCAAAGATTCAGTGACAAGAATACTACAGACCTTTATATATGTGAAAAAGTAAAAACATGGATTGAAATAGCTATTGTGCAGGTCCACCAATATGACTTATGCCACAGTGCTAAGTTTGGGCCTAATGAACACTGGGAGAAACTTCTTAAAGCACCCAATTCCACTTAATGGACTGAAGATTTTAGATATGGTTAAATCATAAAAGCCTAAACCTACTATTTAGTTTAAAAATCCATTTAATTGGATTCTAATAACATTATAATTTTTTAATTCAGTATAAATAGTTAGTCTTAAATTTTAACAAGGCTGCAGCGTTTTTTCCTATTAAAATGTTTTCGTTATAATGAGACCTTTAAAATCTACGTAGATTTATATATGTAAAACATACAATTTTTATACATATATACATATATATATACACACACCAAGATTAGCTGACTCCAGGATTAGTACAGACTTCAATATTTGTAAGCATGAGACTTCAAAAAGTCTCTTTTACTGCATTGTACTGCTCCTTTATATTGTAATGTCATTTCTATAATTTCTTCACATTGATCCATCTCCAGAGTGTGCACCTTCTTTCAGGATATCTTCTCCTTTTCTTCACTGAAATTACTGTCCACTCTTTGTTGTCTTCTGTCTGCCTTAAATTCTTGTTGTTTATCAACTTTCCACTAAGAGCTTCTCTCTTCCTTGCATTTTCACATTGATGTTCCTTGGCTTTAACTTATCTCCTGATGATGCTTATTTTTCCCTCTATTTGTGGAATTTTTGAAGAAAAGGAACTTGTGAGGCTGAAATAGATAAACAGACCATTACAAGTGGCCAATTCTGAAACTAGTCTTTTTCTCAACCATGCAACAGCAGCCTATGTAAGCATTATTTTTATTATCTGGAATACATGTCCTGTTATGCAAAAAGCAGATGAGAGAATAAAATGGCTTTTCTTCCTGACCATGAAATAAGGAGTGAAATAAGACGTGAAACAGAACAGTTTGAAGTGAGAGAAGAAGGTGGAAAGAAATTAATTTAGAGAATGATGAAAATCTTTTTCCTAACAGATCATTGTTGAAACTGATTCCTTGAAAACATACCATAGTAGCTTTTGTTTGAATAAGTAGCATAGAAAAACATTCAGCGTAGTAGCAAAAGCAAACCTTTTCCATTATCAGTTGGGTAACAAGCTAGAAGGGAAAAAGGAGTGTAATGCCACTCAACTGAAATCATAAGCAGCACGGGTACCAAAATCTGTGAAGACTTTGGGTGGTACACCTCCTGTCTTCAAGAGATCAGTGTGAATACATTTTGCATATGGGAAGTAATCCTGTAGTTTCTGGATGTAGCACCATATATCAGTAGGCCCCATACTGAATGGTAAGTGAAAAAAAAAGACCTTTCCATAGTTAAATTAAAAACTGCAATATGTCTGAAGCAAAATTGTTAATGCAGCAGTAGGATAACATACTCCCTCCCCCCTCACTAGCATTAATAAATTTGAGATTTCTATAGCCTATTTCATATGAAGAGACACTGATCATAACTTGTCATCTTGTGAGCACTGTAATATAAGCTGCAGATTCATTACACTTTTATGGAAATACTGTATCAGCCTGGAGTGTAGACCTTCTTCATAATACCCATGAAAATGCAAAGAGATTTTGGTTATTACTAGATTTTGCCGACACGAGGGCAAAGAACTTAGTAATAAGAAGACTGTGAGTTATTACTGGGTTTCTTTAACAAGATCAGGCCAGAGAACTCTTTAAACATGGATTTTTCTAACGTAAGCAAAGTAGGACAAATTACTGTCTCATTAGAAACATTTTCATCACATGCTTTATGTCATATCCTTTAAATCCAGCAAGTTCTATGTCAGTGAATTCTGTTAAATACCCTTTCAGTATACACAGACTTTTCAGTCATCAGTTTAGCTTCTACATATCCAAAGGATCATAAAGTGTAATCACTGCTATCTATCTATCAGGTGTACTGGAATTAACAATAAACCCCTGTCATCTTTCAAACCTCCCTGGATGCAGCAGGAATTTACTTCACAATCTCATGGGAAGGTGATACAGTAAGAACCTGGAAATTAAAAAGTCTGTGAGATATGAGAGGCCAAACTGAAAAGAAAGTACAAATTAACTTTCTGATGATCCTAGCTTTAAGTAACAGTAATTTGATTATCATGACCTAAAGTTGGAAAACAATGCAAGTTGGAAGCCCTCTGGAAGCCCTCTGTGAGAAGCATTAATTTCAACGAAGCAGCAGTCACAGTTCAGAAGCAAACTTTTTATTAAAAAAAATATATATTTTCTATTGTTAAAGCTTCTGAGATTTGCTACATTTTTAAATGTCTCCTCAGCATGACATTTATTAAACTTTTCCATTTTGTTCAGACAGTTAATGCAATCAGCCAGTATGAGTGGACTCCTGTACATCTCAAAGCACTAGGTGCTACCTTGAATTGCTACATTCCCTCAGTTTCCTGTGGGAAATGAGGACATTTGTTCCTCCATAACCACCTCATACACAACTGCAAGTCAAAAATATGTCTTCAATAAAGTGTGAATCAGCAGGAGAGTTCACAACAGCACATTGGATTGGAGCTGGAATCACCATCTTTATTATTATTATTATTATTATTATTATTATTATTATTGCAGAAATCTCTGAATAAAAGCTTGCTAAAATACTTCTAAGGAATAATCCTCTCACAGAATGCTATTTTGGTAGAATATGAATCTTCCTTGGTAGCATACAAATTCCAGTGGATCTTCAGAGAGAAACCATTGCCTATCATATCTGTCCTGGCCTGCTGTGTCATCAGAGCTTCTTTTCTGGAAGGTGCTCTTGCACCACCAGTATTTTAAGAAATTTCTAGAGAAGAGTTCATGCTCCTGCTCTCCTGTTCTGCTTCATACAAACGAACCTTGCTTTTCCTCATTTTAATTCAAGACCTCTTTTGAACTACTCCAGGAAATACAAGATTAATTCATTGTAGCCAGCTTTCTCTAGTAAGTCCCTTCCTGTAGGAAGATTGGAAGAAGACAGCTCAAGCAATTCATTTTTAGTCTTTATCATCATGACGTCATTTTCCATTACAGTTTCATTTTCCAACTAAAAATCAGATGGAAAAAAATCAGAAATCTGAAAAGTTTTATCAACAAAACTTCCACCACCACCAGTGTATAAAAAGTACAAACATATCTGGAGATAGATTAATGAAAACCTCCATTCAGGGTAATCAGAGTTAAATAATGAATGAAGTTTTAATACGTATAAATTTCCCAATAGTAAGGAGTTCTTTTGCAAAGCACTTGTTCAGGAGTATCTTTAAAACAGAAAATTACCTACACAGACATCATATTGAAGGTATCTGAACTGTCTCAAGATTGGTTGGTTTTCAGAACTTCCTAGGACAATACATTCCAGAGTTCAGTAATGGAAAAAGCAAGATTGATATAAACTCTTTTGAGAATCTGAGAACAGTTCACCGTTGTCCATGATTTTAAGGCTTGTTTTTATACTTGATAAGTAATGCCATATATACTTTAAAATATATGTAATCACTGAAATTGATCTGCCATTTCACTACCTTATAATTTATTACTACAAGATCTTCTTACATATCACTTTCATTCACCTTACAAAGATATGTTGAGGTTTGATCCTGGTAGGCTGCCAAGCACTGCTCTCTCACTCCCTCTCTTATTCATCCAATTTAGCATGAGCATTCTCTTCTGTTTTCATCCTTCCCTCACACTTAATCATTTTGTTGTTGTTTACCATTTATTTCACAGCTGGCAGATGTCTGGTCAAAACTGCCCAATATAATCACTGTTTACAAATATGGAAAATACAACATCTCAAGCACTGTTTTGTCTTTTTTTTCTTTTTCCTGAATGCAGTGCTAATGAAATACACTAATCAATATTCTGAGTGTTTGTTTTTCAGACAAAGCCTCACAGCCTACACTGTGTACAGTGTAAAAACAATCTTGATTTATTATGTTTCCTTCAACAATGTAAAAGTTTCTCTTGTATAAAAGACACCAAAATATAAGCCGTTTGGTAGTAACTGGAGCATACAGCTGACAGTGTGAATTACACAAGAAGAAAAGCATGAAGAAGACCTAAACCTGGTGCAAACGGAAGGCCTTTCATTCAAAACAAAGCATGATATTGAGACCTCCAGTTACTGGGCAGTAACCCCTCAGGCTTAAAATGAAGGTAAGTGTCACAAAAGTTAAATATTGCGCCTGGTATATTTTGTACTAAGAATTTTGGTATCCTTTGGATATTCTTTTCTTTCAGATGATCATGTACATGTTATAGAGCACTTACACTGTACTAGTACAAAAGAAAAAAGATCATAGTACCAGAAAACTATCAGAAAAAGTTAGAGTCAAGTGGAAATATTATTTTTAAAAACATGTTCATGAAAGGCATAATAAGATTGTCAAGATGGTAGCTGTACTATGAAGGTAACTACATAATGCATAAGAATATATTTTGTTTTATCCTATACAAATTCAAGAAAATTATGTGCATCACTTTGTAACTTGCATATATACTTTATATGCATAGGTTCTATTTTAGTGACATAAACATTCAATAATCTCCTTGACACTTCTGGTCTCAAATATGTGTTGTGGCATTTTGCTCAATCATGACCTGATATAATTGAAACTTTTCTAGAATTTTCAGTTTAAAAATTATTTCTGTGCTTTGCTGGGAAAACTATGTTGTCATTTATCCTCTTGCTTCTCTCTTAGAAATATTTTTTTTAATATTAATCAAATATATTGCATTTTATATAGGTGTTTTATTATCACTGTATTACTAACACATTGCAGCTAGTTAAGGTACTCTTAAAAATAGACACAAGCAGTGCAATACAACCCCATTACTTATGTAAGCTAACAGGGAGTAAGTAGAGGATTTCAAATATTGTTTCAGAAAAATTTCACTTTGCATTTTCATTAAATTTGTGACAATATTTCAAATTTCCTTTCAGTGAAAAGAGCACATCTTGCTCTCCTCAATACAGTGGCAGAGGAGGAACCAAATCACTGCTAGGATTAGAACAGTACGGTTCCTATATTCAGAAGTGAATCTTCTGGATATTAGAAGAGCATTCCTCAAAAGAATGAATTAGCTCTATTATAATTTCTCTGTACATCATTCACTTCCATGTCATCCCAAAAGAGAGACTTGGCTTTAAAGAAAACCTGAAATCTGACCTTAAAATGTAGAAAGTAGTGGACAGCTAGTTTTTCTATAAAATGCAGATTCAAACAGAATTAATGCTGTATGCCATGGAAGAATCCTGCTAGTGATTTCATGGTATGCTTGATTTATTTGATTGCCATAAGATTATGCTATTCTGTCAGGAAGAATTTGTACCATTCTAAGATTTAGTGGAGTGTGATTTTAATTTTTATACAAGAGCTGTACCTGTTACAGGATATCATCAACAAAATACAACCTACTGGCTTGGATTGCTACCATAGCTCTGAATGTCATGTGTTTTTCTCTCGAGTTACTACATGAGAAATAACAGTACACATTGCTGTTTTTTTGTTGTTTTTTTTTTTTTTTCCCTCCTGTTACATTTCCTCCTGGAAATGTGACAGAAACCTAATTCATTCTCAATTTGAGATTCGCCTCCCATGTGGGTTAACTCCATTAAGCATCCCTTGCTCACCCCCTCAACCCCCACTCCACCACTGGGACAGGGGAAGGGGAAAGGAAAAGTTAAAGCAAAAAAAAGAAAAATGGATTAAGATAGA